ATTTTGAATTCCTTTTCTGGTCACCCATGGATTCCTGTGTAATCAGCCAAAATTGACATGAAGGACGGGGAGTTTTCAAAATATTTGAAATCAGGTTTTCGATTAGTTACATAATTCACTTGGGATAGTGGAAAAAAAAAGTTATTTCTTCCTATGGGAGGATCTCCTTCCTATCGACATCTTTTCTTAAGAATCCATTTATTTCAGGAAACTGTTTTAAGCAAGCCACAGCGACTGTACTGCCAAAGGCACAACTGAATTGATGCATGATACAAATCTGTTTTCTTAGTTAATATATTTGTGAGACTTTCATCTTCATTGCTAGAGATTCCCAATTACATTTTTTTTCCAATCTACTTTAAGTCATTTTCTTAGTTTTGGCCAAATTGACCTGCACTGTTAATCTGCTGCACTAATCCACTGTTGTAATGGGAAAGGGAGAGTTAAAAAGACGCTTGAACTGCTGAACTCTTTTAAAGGTCCTTCATTTCTGCCTTCACTGCTCAACCACGCGTTACAGAGGCTTAAAGGGGGTGCTGCTAAAACAGCTCGATTAAGAGAAAGAATGAATCGAGAAGCTGTATAAACTGTGAATCATGCACATTGATTCCAGCAGAATACAAGAAAAAACAGAATGGAGCCAGAATCGATCAGTTCAGCAGTAATGAACCAGTTATCAACTTTTAACACTTTCACCTATGTTTGACCTTAATTCTGCCTAAAGACAAAGAAGAAATGAAGAAAGAAGATTACAAAATGTACTTCCTTTAAAATAAAATTCAAAGAAGTAAATGAAATTCAGTTACAACTATATGTAGGCTAATGTAATACAGGAAATTGTGTCTTTGAAGCATTGACAAACACACACACGCCTGATCTTGCACTGAGACATATTGTGCAGTGGCAAGTAAAAAAGAGGAGGAGTGCAAACTTTTAGAAGTGTCCTCGACCACAGTCGAAGTCTGACACAAACAAACAGCCGTTGTGTCAGGAGTTTCTTCGTAACCATACAAAAACCCTAGATGACTCATTCTTCTATGCAGGGGTAAGTAAAATACTTCCACTTCTCCAGTTTATGTGATCTTTTATTATAGTTTTAGTTTATAGTTTATTTATTTATATAGCACATTTAATTACAACAGGAGCGTTGACCAAAGTGCTGTACAAGAATACAACATACCTAATAAAATAACTTGTATTTTTGGAATGTGTAAGCAGTAGCGGTTTTAGATACGGGCGACACGGGCGGTTGCCCGGGGCGGCATCGTGGTGGGGGGCGACATCACGGGCATCGGCGTCAGTCAGCGCATACTGGGAATGACATATGCACCGATCGGTTTTCTATCGCCCATTTGCTGGGGGTAAGGGCGCCCTTCGTTTGCGAGGTGAGCCTGCTGCTGGCGGCGCAGGGAGGAGGGGGGGAGGGGGGCGAAGGTGGGGAATTCTCTGACCGGCTTGAGCAGCATCTAATAACCAACTCGCAAAATAAAACAAAAAAACAAACAAACCAACAAACACGAAAACAGCGGACATTATGATACAGACTTATAATTTGCACTGATGTTTTTTCGAAATTCTATACGTGAAAAATGAGCGGAAGAGCCCTCCGTGCGCCTGCTCGCTGCTGAAGTCAAAGTAAACGTTATTGTCATCTCCGCTACATACAGTCCAGTATATAGAGAGAAGAGACGACGAGGCTCCAGTTACAGCAGTGCAAGTAAACAAACAATAAATATAAGAAGAGTAAGAAAATAAATATACACTTTAGGACTCGGGGTAAAGGGATCAATAACAATTTGAAATTTAAAATTTACAGTTTGATGATTTAAAGGCTCACACACAACATTCATAATGTTGTAAATCCAAGCCCATTATGTATTCATGATTTAAATCCTCGGTTGTGTGAAATCTCAGAAATGCACCCTAGACAAAGTGAATCTGTGAACTAAGGTGTAGGTCTATTAGGTTATGTTGTGGTGATCCTGGGGTTGAGGGATGGGTGTTCATACTGGAGTGCAAAATTAAATCCAATGGAAGATGGACAAGAAAAGTTCAGAGCCATCAGGTCCTCAGTTTAGAAAAAAGAGAAAAGAAGAGGAGGAGAAACGAGCAAAAGATACAGGTAAGTAGATGTGTCATTGGAGGTCATCCTGAAACAATCAGAATCAGAATACTTTATTAATCCCTAAGGAAATTATGTGGGTTATGTGGGTTGGTCCAAGAAGAAATGGTAAAAATAGTAACAGTGACAGACTAAACTCCAAACAATACATTATGTTACAGATTTTAATATTTAGTCATTGTCAATTGTTGATTTGTCCTGTTCTCATTGTATGAGGAATTATGATGGCTGTTTGGTAGCCGTTTGCATACATACTCTCTCTCTCTCTTCATATGTGTGTGTTTGTGTGAACACTCCATAGGGAGTGTTCGCCCGGGGCGCCAAACAGGCTAGGACCGCCACTGTCAGTAAGCATGTATAAATCATAATGTCACCTGTTCTTTTGTATTGTGTTATCTTGTTTGTAAATATTAACGTTCTTGGGATTTGAGAGTATTTAGTTGGTTTGTATCTTATACCAAATTTACACTTTTTCTGTCAACAACTGTGTAACATTTAAAGGAAAAATGCTCTTAACAGTTTGATTTGAGGTTCTTGGTAGCAGCTAGACACTCCTCACATTGTAACGACCAAAAAAGCCATATAAATTGGAAATTTCTACACTAATGCTTAGAAATACTTTGAAGAACACTTTGTTATACATCCAATCATCTGATTTGAATTACTGAGGGGCAATGCTTTATCTCACCAATCTGTCTTGGCTGCAGAGGACCACTAGCTCCACTCTGAGCTCTTCCCCTTATCCCCAAGGCTGAGGCACTGTAGTATAGACATATGAATATGACAGTTTGTACCTTTATCACCCAATGTGCACATAGGCATACACTTAAGTACATGATGGTCATGGGAAATTCACTGTGATAAACCTCAGCTTTGCTTAATTCTCTAGGCAGCATCTGTCAGCTCTAGCAGTGCATTACATACTTTAAAGCAATACTTAACCTCACCATACTCTTTTTCATCCTTTTCTCTTTTTTTAGATTTTATATAATCTCTCCGATGATATCATTTGCTGCATATTATGCTGCGAGTGTTCTCACTGTTGGCCTGCTGTTTCATTGTCTCTTGTTGACTGTCAGTACCCTTTAATCTTTATTACTTCTATATCTTTCATCTTTAGATTCACATCTCTCGGTTTTGACAATTACTGAGAATTATTGAGAATTTAAAGAGATATTCAGACTATAAAGATTAGCCCCTCTCTCCACTCAACACTCAATCACTTAGATAGAATATGAAATTTAATTTGTTAGCACAGTAGTGGATTAAATACTAGGATATACAGTTTTTGTAAAATATCAATAACTCAGGGTTATTCATGCTTTCCTCAGATTTTTACAATTACCAAGAAAAAAAACCCAAACAAACCCAAAACACACTATTTGGCTAACAATAAAAAATATGTAAAGTAATCAAATATACAAAGTATTATCAAATAAGCAGAATGTAAATATTGGGCAACAAAAAAAATGATAATAAAAAATTACTTAATAGACAGAATACAGAAGAAACTCTACTTCCCCTCATGCTAGTAATTACTTTGACTGTTCTGCAACCCTGTGTATTGTAAAACTAATAAACGAAATGCCAGGCTCAGGCAACACTTTCCATCCCTGTCTGAGTCTTCCTTTTTTGCATTTCTTTTCTTTTTTCTGTGTCTTTGATTTACTGTGATCATTTTCTTTTACTCTATCGTTTACAAAGCAAAATAAATCATTGCTGGAAATCAATGCAAACATGCAGTCAGAAACAGATGATTACTGAAGGGGAAAAAAGAAGTGAGTCATAAGCAGAGGTGGAGAAAGAATGATAATCTGTTCAAAGTGAAAATCTGAGGGGAAAGAGGAATTTTTTATGCTTGCCTGACCTGTTTAATCCTGCTCTGTCTTTATATTCTGGCTCTCCACTGTCTAATATTCTCTTCAAATTACAACTACCTCTATGGTAATCCCACCCTTCTGTGGCCTACATTATACGTTAGTCTGTGTTCAGCTCAATGTGATGAAAGCAAACAATTGCTATTGCAGTGATGAGATAGTCAATCAAAATGGATATCAGATATGATCAAATCCAATCACTCAGATAGGTGGTTGGGCAATCAGCAGTTTAGATTTAAAGTGTTACTGGAGGACAGGACCTGAAAAGCATAATCCTGCATTGTGGTTTCATGGCTCCTGTTCAAAATCAGTGCTACCCTGCCCTCTGGTGTCTAAAAACTATACAGCAGCGGTCCCCAACCCCCGGGCCTCAGACCGGTACCGGTCCGTGAGTCGTTTGGTACCGGGCCGCGAGAGTTGAGGCTCAGGTGTGAAGTTAGTACAATAGTTTTCAGGGTTTTTATCGGTTTTCAGCGTTATTTTGTTATTGTTTTTATCGTTTACTCGGTTTTCCTTGGTCTTTTCACGTGTGTTATGAATAAATTTTCTTTTTTTCGGTACCGGTACTAGTTTTATTTTGTTGTATTTATCCGCGACACCTTAAAGGCTGGTTCATGAAAATATTGTCGGGCATAAACCGGTCCGTGGCGCAAAAAAGGTTGGGGACTGCTGCTGTACAGTATGAATTGGCAGTACGGGGCCATCTATCTATGGCATCTTTTCTTCTTACAAAAAGGTTAATAAAGTGACTGAAAAGACAAACAAGCGAAATTCCACTCTAAATTCATCCAGTCATTTAAAAATGTTTATGAGTTTAATACCAAAGTTCCACCAAAGTGATACAAACAATTACAGCTTTTTATTTAAAACATTTAAAACAGCTATACATCACTATAAAAAGATAAGTATAAAAATACTTGAAATTCGAACACTGACACATTTACAATGTTAAACGCTGTGCATAAATGCTAAGATTTTGTAACTTTTACATGAGACAGGATATGGAACAATATATTTTGTACGGTACAAACTGAATTTCGACCTCATGATAGAGCTCGGGAAAGCTAACTACAAATCGCCATGGTCTTGCACTAAATCAGAAGGATTTTTCATTTTTCATTTTTCATTTTCATTTAATTTTTCATTTTCCAGTTTTCAGTCACATGCACAAGCTGATGTATTGATCTTTATAGGGTCGCCATTCAGGGGTAGTAGTGACAATGTAGTACAATTTTAAAAGGCCATATAAAAACATTTGAAATGTAACTTCACTGATTACTAACAAAACTATATAGTTGTTGATGATGTATCATTTCCCACATTTGAACTACTCTTCTTACAGCCCTAAATCAAAACACTGATTGGTGGGACAATCAATGATGTTAACATGGAAATGTTTAGTTTCAGGTGTTGAAACTTCAGCAACAGTGTGAGCAGTGATTTCAGTCAGGAACAAAGCACCGTACCATATGGATAACTATAGTTTGCTGCACAAACACAACACAAACCATACATTTACACATTGTTATTTAATTGTATGAAAAGGAAGTTTTTCCTTCTCACAGTCGCCAAAGCACTTACTCATGGGGGTCATATGATTGTTGGGCTTTTCTTTGTATTATGGGGAGGGCCTTGACACAACTGTTATTGGGATTTGGTGCTATATAGATTAAATTGAATTGAACTATATGGCCAAAAGTATTGATTGTCTGCCTTCACAAACACATAAACTTAAGTTGATGATGTTGGACCACCCTTTGCAACTATAACAGCTTCAACTCTTCCACATGTTTTAGGAGTGTGTCAATAATTTGGATAGTAGAATTTTGGTAATATAGTGTATGTCTTACAGTACCTGTAGGGCACGTGTGCTTGATTAAATGTAATTCATGCACTTCCCGAGGCACAAAGCCAAAAATCAATTGATGTCTCAGCTATGCTCCACTATATTGTCCTGCAAAGCTGGTGAGACGATGGGCTGGCTACTGTATGACTGACAGGGTGATGCTGGGATTCCTAGGCCAACATCTCGACTGCTCCTCCTCCTAATGTGACTTATTAAACTCTTTCCTGGGGTCATCAGTAACACCCCTCTTTCTTCTACCAGTCCATCAAACACTGCTCCCAGACTCTGCCGTATTCTTACACAGAAACGTGGGCAACTGAAGACATAGAGAATAGGATTCAGTAGTGGATTTAAGAATGCCAGTGTTGTAGCTAGAGGTAGACCTACTTCCACTAGTTTGAGATATTCCATATTATATTGGGCTGCCACTTCAATCATACAGAAGATGTGATAAGGAGCCCAGCACAGTGCAAACGCTGTAATCACAGATGTCACCATTTTAGTGAAACTCTGGGATAGCTGGCTCTGACTCGTCAGATTAGGGGTGGTAGGAGTCAAGGGGCCTTCTTTAGTGGTTAATGATGGACCAGGGATTAGAAATTTGAGAGATAATTTATTTGTGGCTGCAGTTCTTCCATGTGTAGTTCTTGATTGTTGATTTCTGTTTAACGTAATCAGATCATCAGTTAGTCTAGTGGCACTCTGCTTCCTCCTCCTGTTCCTGCTCCTCAGACTGAGACCAATTTTGATGTAGCTTCCTGCAATCACTGCCAGTGGCAATATGAATGCCAGCAGCAGCTTGGAGATAGCTGTGGTCCACTGCCTCATGTTACAGTCTCTCTCAGGTGTGGCATATGAGGAATACATGGCAAAATTGTGATAGCACAACTTTCTTTTATGCTTCGTTTCAGTTACTGAGCGGAAAACATAATATGGCAATGCATTACCTGCTGCCCATAGCCAACCCAATATGCACACTTTCCACGCGCCTGCTACTGATCGATGATTTTGGCTCCACACTGGCTTGGTGACCAGAAGTAAGCGGTCCAGCGAAATGGCTGCCAAAAGGAAGGCTGATACGAACATGTTGAAGAAAAAGATGAATGTCTGCACTTTGCAAAGTGGGTTGCCGAGCTCCCAGCTGTGACCAGAGTTTAGGTATAAAGTGAACAGGGGAAGCGTCAGGGTAGCCAGGAAGTCAGACAGGGCCAGGTTGAGCACCCAGATGGAGGCCACGGTGCGTTGTCTTAGGCGGAAGCCCACCACCCAGATGATCAAGGCATTCTCCAAAATCCCCAGGCCAGAGACCAGTCCATGGATGCAAACCACAGTCAGATTGACCTGTGTGTTGTTATTAAGTTCATGCCTCCTCATCATCTCAAGCTGGGGACAGAAAACCTGGTCCTCTGAGACATTTGTCTTGTTGGACATGTTTGAGATTATTTTTTCTGAAAAGTGAAACAAGACACAGACACGAAGCTTATGAATAACCAGTTAAAGTCAGATTTAACGCAGGTACCATTTGTTTTACAAAAGGTCAGGAGGTATTTTACTTTCCTGATCTCATATCCATCTTTGTGAGAATATAATAAGTAATCTATGTGTTTAAATGCCCCTGTGAGCAAGCTTACGCTGAACAAGCAAAGAGATACTCAAACAACACATTTCAAAGCACAAAACAGCAATTTGCACTGGGAACATGGAGTGTTTCATAGCTAAACACCCGGCTGCCGCATACTCCACGTATGTTATAGCCAGACATACATGGAGTATCTATCCAAGTTGCTGTCTCTGAGAGAGAAGTATTGGATCTCAGCACTTGCTATAGTGACACCTGCTGGACTGAATTATGGTTTCACTTTTAAATGTTTGTTTTGAACGAGTTGAGGTAAATTAAAAACAACATATATTCACAAGAGCTTGAATAAATATATATATACAAGCTCTGTTGAAGGCAAAAAAAATTAGCATATTTGCTGGAAAGGCGAAAAATAAGCTGAGATTTGTCAACTGCCCCTGTGGTTTGGCATTAGTGATTCCTTTTCCCCTTTTGATACTCATGATTTTGATTTGGCACAACAGATAAATGTGCTGGGGAGGTGCATCCTCTTGACATAATGTTGTGAAACTTTTATGTGATTGTGGTTACCACGGACACTCCTTCCACACCCTAAGGTGCATTGATTCCACTTTTCTTGCCTGTTTGTCTTTTTGTTTTTATTGAGCAATTACATACTTTGCTTTCAGCATTATGACTAATATGATTATTGATGAATAGTAAATCACTGGGTAATAATATTTTTGCAAATTAAAGCATCGTTTTCTGACTAGAGTTACCTTTCACCATAATTGTCATGGAAGTTTGCTGTGAGAAAAAAATAAGAAAAACAGCGACACAGTCTCTTTGAAACATGTCAAAGCTTGTTTTTGTGGACTAGCCACATACCATCTATTGGGCAACAACACATGCTTAGTTAAAGACAATCCATAGGAGACAACAGAGATACCAACAATCTGTGAGGATGCCTGTCGTTATCAGCCCATAATATCTCCAGTGAAATATACACTTTGCTCTAAAGACATAAGGGTAGCCAAAACTTAAATGTACGGGCACTTTTCAGTTTTAAAACATTACCATACTGTGTGCACAATTCAAAATACCTATTTTTAAGGTTTCAAGTGATTGTTGTTAATGTTATGATAAATCATTATAAAAGTAATTTTAAAACTGTAAAAGACAAGGGAAAACATCAAATAATCACTTTTTCTATATTTCCTGATATTACTACTATCAACATACTTAAGGGTCATTTCTTAAAATGGACATGATTATGAAGTTGCTAGATCATGACTGCATAATTCACAGTGCGTGAATGAGATATGATGTTCAAATTAGAGAAATAGACACTCGTTATAACTTCACTCCTCACAAAGATTAGTTGTGGCTTATATGCTTGTCTCATCAGAGATTTGACTTTAAGGTTGTAAGCCTCTCCTGTAAGTGTGAACGGTTAGGAACTATTTAAAGTCATGACTGAAGACATGATCTGCACCTCAGGCACAAAACCCATTGACAGTTACCTGGCACGTTAACACCAGGATCACTGTACTTTTCTGTAACACTGTAAGTTTCTGCCTGTTCTAAGTGTTCTCTACTGTTGCTATTTCTCCCTTATTTTCTAAAAGATTCCAGACATTTTACAGGCACTGAAATATGGGTTGAGATTTTTATAATAAAAACATATGACTATTTACGTATAAAATTCAAAGCAACATTGTTCTCCCTTAGCTATGGTTACATTCTTAGTCACATCCCTGCACTCATGATGTAGATGAGGTAAACACAACACCAAGTCTGCACATGAATACAGATGGATGAGTTGATAAAAACGAGACACAATGCTGACGTGAATGCATGTTTCTTTCTTGGACTACTAATTTTCTTTTTTTATCTTTCTGGAGAACTTGGGTGAACTCAGTCTTTGAATACCTACATTATGAGAGGCCCATCTAATACAAGACAGAACAATTTCACCAGGCAACTCTGCCTGCTTTCGCACCAGCTGTAGTGATTATGAAAATAGAGATTTGTGCTTTTATGAACATTGAGTCTATTATGTCAAAGCATATTATCAGTGTGGAATTATTTCTATTTTTACTACTTGACAGCTGCTACACATTACACTTTTATGTGAATTCTATTGATTCTTATGCTTTATGTGTGCTCCATATAGTCAGGTCATATTTTATTAAGTAACAGCAATTCAATTCAACAGCAACATAATATACAGCCTCTACATTGGCCATAAAACCGAGTTACACCTTTGTCTCAGTGAATTAAATTACATTGAAGTGTAGCCTTTTAAAAAACAAACAAACAAAAAAAAACCCCAAAAACCTGCTAACTAAATGTGCAATAATCAATATATCAGATTTACTGTCCATTGCTAAAATTAACTGTATAAAGGGACAGTGACAAGCTCAAAACCAAACATAACTATTGCTCACCAACAGCAAGAAGTAGAGCAAAACCATGATGACTGCATACATAGCTTGTACTCATAACTAAACTTTAGTATTGTAGAAAACACTCACCTGTATAGTCAGTCAGATTCACAGAAGAAATAGAAAGTTGAAACTTTTCAAAAATTTCTGTTGTGCACTTCTTGTGAGCCTACTTTTCTTACTCAGCACTTCAGTTCTCTCAGTTTATAGTACTTTCCAGTCCTAGAGACACCTACTGAATCCCAGACACACAGAAATGAATGCTGACATACCTCCCTTTGCTCCACCCCATACACTGAAAAAA